GGGAGCCTCTTGTTCGGGGACGAGAAGAGCGGCCACTGTTTCCAGCAAGCACAGGCAATTGTTCAGCCTGGTGAGTAATCTGAATTATGAGTTCTAATGCCATTGTATTCACTTTGATTTTAGCACAATGCATGAAGAATCATTCAAAATTTGTACTGTACATATTTCAAAAACAAATCCAATGATTTTGAAACTCATCCTATTAAAAAAATTAAGAAATTTACATACATACTGTATGATTCTTACTCATTTAAATATCTAACACCTAAAATTTGATATTTACATTTATAACAACTTGGTGTTCAAAACTTATGCATGAAAAGGTGTATTTCAGTTTTAAAAAGTTAGCAATTTGTGATATTTTTTGATGTGATATCAAAGATTCAACTGTTATGGATGTAAATATGAAGGTTTAGTTGTTAGATTTATAAATATATAAGAATTGTGTGGCAAGAATGTACATGTCCTCGAGAAATCTGATTAGGATATTTTGGAAGTATAAATTGTAGTGGCATTTACATACATAACACAATTCTAACTTGTTTACATATCTAACATCTATATTTTCATATTTACATGTATAACCCTCAAATATTTTAACGTGAGCACTCCAAACCCAACCTCTTGGTATCATTTATTGGAAGACTTACATACATACCACTCGAGTCCCATGCATTTACATGTCTAATGCCTGTACCTCAATTTTTACAGATATGCCAGCTTATCCATACATGAAAATTTGTATTTCACTTTTTAGAAGTTAAAATAGTATTTTCGATGTGATATGAAAGAATTGGGCGGTATAAATGTAAAAATTAAAGTTTAGGTGTTAAATATGTAGATACATAGGATTTGGGTGGTATTTATGTAAATGCCTTTTATTAACTATTTTGTTTCCAACCAATCAATGGGCTGCTCACTTCTAATGCACATATTTATGACACCAAAGTGCTGTAAATGTAAATATCAAACTTGAGATGTTAGATATGTAAATATGTAGAGATTGTGTGATATCTAGTAACTATCTTAGCTATTATTATTATTATTATATCAGGATCGCTTGATAGTGAAGCATGCATATATGCTCTTTCATATGATATGAGTGGTACAAGACTTGTTACCTGTGAAGCTGACAAAACTATTAAGATGTGGAAGGAAGATGAGATGGCCACGCCTGAAACTCATCCTCTTAATTTCAGGCCGCCCAAGGAGTTCAGGAGATACTAAGAACAAAAATATGTTAATGTTGAGGGGGCAAAATGTGAGACCTAAAGTTTTCTGAATAGTGAACTTGTTTTTGCTGTTAATGTAAAAAATGATTTTGATTTATAAATGCACTTGTATTAATTTGCTGTTAAGTCCAAGATTTTTTTTATTTTATATTCTTATTTTCTTTTTTCCGTGAAAATATCTCTGACACTGTAATTGAATTTATTGTTGTTTTATGCAGTCAATTCTTGTGAGGATAAATTGATTGTTTTTTAACGCTTCCTATGGAACTCATAGAGTTAGTCTGTAAATATCATGGTTATAAAGATCGGATCGGATTGCTCCACCACTTCAATTGTGGGCTGGTCATTCAACTGGTTCGGTTCAAGCCAAGAACCTTTTTTTCATAGAACCGAGATTGAACCGATCAAAATCGATAAATTGATTTGATTTTTAAAAAATGAGCTAATTAAATCTTTATCTTATTTTAACCTTTTGATTTTGATAGGATGATTAAAAGTAAAAATGTCATATCTTTAATATTTATTTAGACTATTATTTAAAATATTAAAGCATTTTTTCAAATTAGAATGTTATTTATTTTATCAAGAAAAATTATATTAATATATTATAATTTTATTATTTAAATAACATTAAAATAATTTAAATATATGTTACATCATATAATTAAATCCCGATTCAAAGATTGAATCTTGAACATTTTCTTCTTATGATTTAACCCCGACCTGATTTTCACAATCTTTGCTAAATATACATATTTCCTATTAAAAATATTTTATTTATTTTATATTATGATCATTATTATTATTAACTTGGTGATGAATATTTTTAGCAGAAAATTATATGTTTGTCTAAATATTTACACAATGTGCTATTCAATATGAATGGACGCTGTCTATTTATAAGTTTCAATGTATATCCTCTTGAGAGATGGAATGTACAGATGTCTATTAAATCACTAATGTGCCTAACTCTGACGTATGTAACATGCACGAGCGCTCATGGGATGAACAACTTTTGATGATTCAATGTTCAAAAAGTGAGATCCAGTCACTTTTGCATGCTTACAATGAAGCATTCATATTGTTCACTTGGATGGTGGATTTAATAGTCACATGTGCATTATAAATCTCATGTTCATTGGATTTGGGTTCTTTGTATTTGAAAATAAATTTTTGAGGCATTTTCATAGCTCACAATTCTTATGTATTTATATATCTCACTTCAATTTTTTCTATTTATACAAATAGTACTCAAATCTTTAACATCATATCAAAAATATATTTGATCGAAGCTTATGCCAAACGGACCCCTAGAATGCAATAAATCTATCTTCAATGCAATGCTTTAGATCTAGTACAATAATATTCATATTATTCTAAACCCATTTTGTATCTAGTTTTTGTCGATTTAAGTAAAATCTAAACTCATTTTGTATCTAGTTTTTGTCGATTTAAGTAAAATGAAGCACCAATTTATTTCTTTTGAATTGCTCTAAAAGTGTAGAATGCTCCCAATTGGCTGTAAGATAAGATTTGTCCAATAACATAAGCCATAGAATTGATGGGTTCGCACCACTACTAAATATATTGACCTTAATTTGTCCCAAGGTGCTCCACTTCCCACCAAATTCTATTAGACATTGACATATAACCACACAATTCTTACATATTTACATACCGAACACCCAAACTTGTCATAAATGTAAATATGAAAGTTTAGATGCAAGATATGTAAACACACAAGAACTCTGAGGTATGTATGTAAATATCCCATTCTATGTTTATGATCTTAGAAATCTAAGAAGCAGACATATCATAAGAGCAAAAAATGCAAACCATAAAGTATTCAAGTTGGCAATCCATTATTAAAAAGAGTAAAGGAGCAGCAGCATTTATATAAAAATATTCATTTTAGCTTATGAAATTTTGTAAAGTAAAAGAAATTCTCACTTACCTTGTGTTGATAACTCTCGATAGAACATATCAATTTCCCTCAATAGCCTCTCTTGGTCTGTTTCTTTTTCTCTGTAAGTAGGAGATGCCATCAGCTGAATAAGAAGGCTGAATATTTTACCAAAATCAGCATTATTGGAAATAAATTTGTCTGCAAGACTTTCATGTGCTTTGTCTTTTGAACTTTCCGTGTACAAATGTTTCCTGCAGACCTGCAATATCGATCAGATAAGGAAGT